ATCCTGAGGGGATTTCACTGACCTTATCAGACCCAAAAGCTACAACTCTTGTTGCATAGGTCCTGCTTTATCTTGGTCTTAACGATCCAGCAGAAAAGTATAAAAACGAAGTATAAGAAGTAAAGCCATGCTGTTAGGTTGAGCTGTAGGGGACTCAGGCCAACAATTTCTGACATTGCCAGTGAAGCAGAGGCCCCAATACTATTATGGGCTACTGAACTCTTTTAGAATGTTTTGCTGAGTTTACACACCTATAATATTTAAATGATGGAACTTAACAAAAAGGGGGATACAGATGAATGTCCATTTTGTATCTGTGTATTTAAGGTGGTTAGGATATATAATTACATACTCTTAATGAATAGAGGGATTTGCTCTAATGGTGTTTGTAAATAGGATATCAAGTCTGAATCTTGTACAGCAATTAAACACTAGGAAGAATGTATGCAATGTGTTAATTATTGGAACTGTCCTACCAATTTGGTGTGAAACTGTCTCATCGCTATTTGTTTTTCAATAAAATTATGGAAAAAAATAAAATAAAATAAAAATGTCTTATGAAATATTGCATTGAATGGTTGGGGGAAAAAATTTCAGGACTTCCCATTATAAAAGGTCAAGGAAATATGTGTCATTCCTATAAACCGCCACGAGGTGTCAGCATTGTACCATGAAAACTAATTGTTACACAAAAATCCTTTTATATTTGATAGTTTAACTAAAAAGAGATTTTTTTTAAAAAGGTTTACATTTGGGATTTTCTCACTACGTTTTATCTAATCCCAAACTTATACAAGTTATCAGGAGTGTACTGAAATTATGAAAATATTATCTTAGTTTCAGAGTAAATTCTGTCATTTGCCAAATAAAAGCACATAAAGTCTTGGGCTTTTCGTACTGGAAAGAACTACAAGGGTGCTGCATTTCATGCAGAAAATTATTCCTTATCTCTTTTAAAATTAAAAAATTCTAATTCTCTTTGCTACATTACAAAGATTTTAAGATAAATTTGTTCCAAGTTTTCAGAGGATCACAAAGTACATTTTTAAAAGACTAAATACAAATAACTCCACACAGTAAAACACTAAGATTTATACTGCCTAGCTAATTCACTCTTTTCATTCAAAAATAAAACAAAAAAAAAATCAAAATTTCTTATACCTAAATCCAAAAAACTAAATCCTAACCCCTGATTAGTTTGCTCGCTTGCTTGTTTGCTTCCTGGGAATCAAACTCAGGACCTTGCACTTGCCAGGCAGGCAGTACTATTGAGCTATATCACCAGCCCCTGAGTAGTGTTCTAAAAGTCCATGAGTGGGAGAAAATTTAGCAATCTAGGATAACTTATTTTAATTGCTCTTTAACATTTCCACTGTACGTATGCATGTATGTATGTATGTATGCATTTGGTCCAGGGTCTCAGTACACAGCTTGGACTCATAGTGATCCTTCTGTTTTCAGCCTCCCCAGAGCTGGGATCACAGGTGTGCACCACCACGCCTGGTCTCCGTGTGGCAGCTCAGGGTGCCTGGGGGCAGGGCCAGCGCAGCATGCAGTGCTGGCACTTAGTTTGCTGAGCTATCTTGCCTGCCCAACATCTGCATTCTTAAAAAGAAGTGAGACAGGAAAGTGTCAGGGCAAAGTCTCTGGATTTCAGCCTGATGTTCTTTCTCCAAATTATCATGGATACAAAAAATAAAATAAAATAAAATAAAATAAAATAAAATAAAATAAAATAACTTACCTTAAAAAATCATTTAATGCTTCATTTTTTAATTTTAGAGTATTTTCAAACCTTCTCAACCGCTATTTGAGGAAATAATTAACATTGCAAAACTTAAACTGGGGTAGATAACTTTCATATATTAGATCACAATTTCTGTATTCTCTGGTATTTATCATACAGAACGCTGTAATGCCCTGTCTTTTTTATCTGTAGTGTCCTAAGACATCACTGCTAACAGACAGAGGGAATCTATGGGAAAAGAGATTTAAAAAGAACACATGGGAGGAAAAAAGAACAAAATTTATACCATAAACCTGCTTGGCGTCCTCATAAAGAGCAAAAGCTTTGTCATTGAAAGAAAAAATACATAAACCCAGGCACAGCTCAGAAACTCATGCTACAGGTTGCAGATATGGCTGTAACTCAAGAATGTAAAAGCAGGGGCCGGGGAGATGGCTCAGTGGAATAAGCACTTCCCTGGCAAGCGCAAGGGCCTGAGTTCAATCCCCAGTTCCACCAAAAGAAAAAAGAAAAAGAGTGCAAAAGCACACACAAGTCTAAGTAGAAGTCCTCAGAATTCGTTGGGCAAAGCTGTACATGTATGTGAAGATGAGAACACAGCTTCTTTTCCTTTGGCAAAAATAATAATGGTAGAGGGCCACAAGATAAGCTCAGTGGGCCAAGCAGCTGCTTAGGCAGGAGCAGGGACCAGGCTTCTATCCCCTGTACCACATGCGGTGCCGGCCACCAAGCCCAGCAGTGGTGGGCACACCTGTAATCCCTGCCCTGGGGAGGCTGAGAACAGGAGGATCACTACAAGCCCGAGCTGCGGGGTGAGACCCTGGACCAAAACCATTGAAATATTAATAATAATAATAACAATAATAACAATGATGATAATGGTAATAATTATAATGGCAGATCTAGATGCATTTAGGTTGTTATCATAGCAACTTCAAATTCTTATCTTAAAGTGACTGTCCCGCCAACAGAATAATAAACCAAAACTTCCCTAGAGGTATACTTTAATTGCACATTCTTCCTTTCATTACATATCACAATTGTATAATCCTACTAACTTACAAAGATTACCCAATTATCTAATAACATGCTAGGTTAATTGATTTTTAAGTTTTCATGATTAATAACAAAAGTGTACTGACTGCTTTGTGTTATAGATGTATGTACGAATGCATATACAGATGCAGGAAAAAGGCTGGACCTATACATATCAAAATGTTAACAATGGTTTTGACATGCTTAAAGTAATTCAATCAAATCCCTCCTAGAATGGTATTTAAAAGAGACAGCATTTTTATACTTGGATTTGGACCCTAATTTTTAGAAGGAACAGAATTCTCACCATTAAGATTTACCTCAAATGGATTTCCATGGCAATGCTTAAGCTGAATTATTTTATAATCACCACATTCCACAATGAAGGCATGGCTTTCTAATTTTTCATGACCTTTATCACTGAAACTATAAAAACGAATAAGAATTTATAACCTTTATATATTCTTTTAACTTATCGTTTTCTGCTTCCTTTTTATTGATTTGGAGCTGCAGTCGCTCATGTACTACTTTTACTGATTGGGAGAAACGGTTTGCTTTCAAAGCATTTGCCTATAAGACAGAAGAAACAATGAAAAAATGAAGTTAATTTCTTTTCCGACCAATACTTTCAATTTTAGCATAATTCAGACACAACCTCAAAGGCTTATAGAAGCAAAATACTTTATACAAATTGACACCCCATCACAAATATATTTTATGCAAAACCAGGGAGGAGTTTTCTCCCCATATTTTGAATGCCTCCTAATAATTACCTTTTGCAAAAAAAAAAAACTCAATCTCTGCTCAGTAAAATTATAGGTATAGCTAAAATACTCCCACAAACACAAAAATTATTTAATTTGTTCCCAAGTTGAAATACAACACAATTTTATGGAGAGTTCTTAAATTGTGCTGAGTACATACCTAGGTACACTTTTAACTACAAAACTCTCAAATAAACAAATCTTTTTAAAAGCTGAGAGAGGCTGGGGAGACAGCTCAGTCAGTGGCACAGTGTTTGCTTGGTAAGTGCAAGGTCCTGAGTTCAATCACTGGTACCAAAACAAAACAACAAACAACCAAAAAAAAAAAAAAAAAAACCAGAAAAATTAAGCTTCTACCTTTGAAATATAAGGCTTACAAACATTTCAAGCAATGTGAATTGTGCAAAAGCCTCTCCTGTGTTACTTTTTTTCACTTCATTCTAAGGATATTGGACTAGGATGGAAAGAAGAGGGAGTCTGTACTAAAAAAAATACAGTGAATTAAGCCCAAAAGCTCAAAATTTTCTTACCTTTTCATTCTGAAATAAGCAAGACAGCTCTTGAATATAGTTTTCCTTTTCAAGTACCTTCTTCTTAAGGTTCTTCAAAAGACCATGTAAAGGAAATTTCACAACTGAGACAACACTGTCTAATTTATACAACAACAACAACAACAACAAAAAAAAATCAGAAGCAATGGATTCAAAGTGAAGAATCACTTACTGTGTTTTCACTTTCATTATCTGTTAGATTTTTCAACAACATGCTGGGTAAATTGTCTCCTGTCTGTGAAGAAAGGAAAGTACAAATATCAGTGTCCACAAACTGTACCTCTGCATATGAAAAGCTAGAAAGTAAAATAAGTGAAACTCAAAATGTGACTACGGAGCCCTATGTACAGGTCAGACTCCTGTGAGAGTTACCATCAGAAACATTTTTTGTCAAAGTGTTCCAAATCCTTTTTTGTCCATGATTTATGAAGTTAATTTATTAAACTGATTTCAAGACAAAACTACTAAAAAGTGGGCCAATGACATTTAAAAATCACCAAAAACCCTATTACAAAAGAACTTCGACATAGTACTTTTTATACAAAGGCAAAAATTATAAATACCTTAAATTCTAGCAATAGGAAATTTCTTAAAGCATTACAGCAAATTAGTAACAGAATTCTACGTAAGCACTGAAAATGAGCCCATAGAGAATGTTTATTGATCCCTGAGGGTCGGGTCCCTACTTAAGAATCAAACTATAAATTCCTCTAATCCAAAAGGCAGAGCTATGCACACACAATTTCAGAGGGCCACAGCCACAGGAGACAGTTAAGATTCCTTTCTACTGAAGAAATATTTAGTAGTTAAGAAAAAATTAATAAGACAGTGTTAAATACAAAACTGAAGTCATAGCACAGTGAGAATACTATGACCTCAATTTTTAAAAATTATATATATGATACTACACATATATACACAAACAAACACTACACTACATACACAGTAATGGAATGAAAGATCAGAAATATTAAGAGTTTAACAAAGACTTTTCACTGACTATGGACATCAGAAGAATTTTTTGCTTAGTTTTCTGATGGGCACATAACTTTTTAATTATCAATCTGTTATTTAATATATATTTTTTTACAATTCTGAGAAAATGCTATCATAATAAGGAGGCAAACAGGAGTTAAGATTTTGTCACTTGGGGCTGGTGAGATAGCTTCAGTGGACTAAAGCACCTGCTTAGGCAGAACGCAGCAGCCGGGGTACGATCCCTGGCCTGCTGTGTTGGCCTGGCCTCCGGGGTGCTCTGTGGCAATGGAGACTGGGCGTGGTGGCACATGCCTGTAATCCCAGCCCTTGTGAGGCTGAAAACAGGAGAATCACTGCGAGTTCAATCTACGTAGTGAAACCTTAGAGACCCTGTTCTAAATACAAAAATAAAAATAACTATTTTTATCTGACTGTACCACATTCCAGTGATGGCAAACTTTTTAGAGAAGCCCAAACTGCAACACAAAACCTACTTGCTTATTGCAGTGTAAACCTGAATACACAAGTTGTAGTTCACAAAACAAAACCAAACCCAACAACTCTACATTATCACCTTTTGTCTTAAAAGAGCAATACAGTAACACCCACGCCACGCCACACGTAGGCCATCGCTGCAAGCGCGATGGGTGCATGGCTAATGCGAATCAGAACCACAGCGAGCATCACTTCACCCCAGTAACAATGGCTAGGAGCAAAAAGATAAAGACAAGTGCTGCCAAGGATGAGGAAAAAAGGGCGACCTTGTACACTGCTGGTAGGGACTGATTAGTACAAGCCCTCTGACAAACAGTGTGCAGGTTCCTCAAAATCTTACAAACAGGGCCAGGGAGAGGGCTCAGTAGAATAAGTGCTTCCCTGGCAAGCACAAGGGCCTGAGTTCAATCCCTGGTTCTGCCAAAAATAATAACAATAATAATAATCTTACAAACAGAACAATTTTTGGATCACAGCAACCCTATTACTGAGTATATATCCAAAGAAAATTAAATCACTCTGTTGATGGAAATGCTGCACTTCTGTGATCATGACAGAACCAGTCACAAGAAGAAGCCAACTTCCTGTGCCCGGGAAATGATGAATGTTTTGACTGAGAGAACAGGTCCATACACACAATGGGATACTAGTTAGCCGCAGAACACAAGGAAAGCCTGACAGAAGTGGCAAGATCATGATGTGAAGTGAAGCAAGGAACAGTCGCAGTCATGAGAGTAGAGTGGTAGAACCGGCAGCCAAGGACAACGGTGGAGGGAGAAGGAAAAGGTTGGCCGATGCACACTACATTACAGTTGGGAGAGGTAAGTTCCGGGTGCTACTGCACCCTGGGGTGACCACAGACAATGATGATGTTCTCTGTAGTTCAAAACACTAGAAGACTTGGAATTTTCATTAAAAAGATAAATATTTGAGGAGTTCAATAGGTTTAAACATTACACAATGTATATATGTGTTAAAATATTACATGCTCCCCATTCATATGTAAAATGTTTATGTATCAAATTTTTTAATTTTAAAAATAGCATATGTATGTAAAATATAATGCACAAAGGACCATAAACTCTAAGAATCTGTATTTTATTACAAGTAGCTAAATGAAGTATAACAAATAATGAAAGTCTTCTGGATAAGAAGTAAAAATCTCTTTTCTATAAAAATGTGTCAGGTTTTCAAGAACTATTATGAAACACTAAAAGTAGAAACATTAACAGTAGGGGTCACTGTAATGACTACCATTTCAAACAAAAGTTCAGTGAAGTGCTTCCATAATAAATACATCAATATCTTAATTTTTATAGTTACAGAAATAATAGTGAAACCCATCGCTGTCGAGTGCTAAGCACTGATGCCTTACTTGTCTGTAGTCTGTCTGTCTAAGAAGATGCTCTAAAGCTGCTTTTACACGTTTAAAAGTATTTAATTCTTTCATTAACATTTCTTTCTGTTCAGAAATCCTCTTCAAACTGGATCCAGAAACTCTGGCCTGACAAAATATAAGAACCAGGTATGCATTTTAAGACACAGTATTAGGCAAAACACTTAAAATCTGATCACTGAAGAATAACTGTTCTCAGCAACAAAGCCACTCTTTTGCATGTAGTCACAGTAAATTGTGCCAAACTAAATAGTAGACAGAATCTGTTATATAGTACATTAAATTAAAATAAAAATAAGGTCTTAAACTCCAAAAGTGTTACAATATTCTAATAAAAGTTATAAGACACTATTTTTTTTTTATCCTTAACTCAAACTTTAGTTTGTTAAAATTTTAAAATAAGTTTTATTTCCAAATAGCATGATAGTTGCCTGGCAAGTACAAGGGCCCCAGCTCCACCAAAAAAAAAAAAAAAAAAAAAAAGTATGATAGAAAAGAAAAATATCTTTTTTGTTTTTTTTTTAATGTATTTAGTACAGAGTCTATAGGGTCTCACCACACAGACTGGACTTGTAGTGATCCTTCCTGTTTTTCAGCCTGCCAAGTGCTGGGATTATAGGCAAAACGCCACCACACCAAGTCTCAATGGCTGTCTCAGTGCCCCCTGGGGGTGGGGCCAGCAGGCAGACCAGGGATCGAACCCCCGGCCTCTGTATCTGCCTAAGCAGGAGCTTTAATCCGCTGAACTATCTGGCAGGCTGAAAAATATCTTATCTCTTAGAAAATTTACTTTTAAAGTCGCCCTTGAGAAGAGCTGATATTCTAGTTAAAGGTCAGAGAAATAAAGAAGCCCAAATATAGTTTGCAGCGTAGCTTCTCACCTGGTGCAGGTCTGAGATTACTCTATCTTTTAAAAAGAGAATCATAGTTAATGACACAGGAATAAATAAAACAATGATAAATTTCCATTTTCGTACTGAATACCCACAAGTAATCAGAGCCACTTACAATATGAGATCTTAGTTAATGTATTCTGTGCATTAATTCTAGCTTTTCACTTTATTAGATATCATAAATCAAATACTCACATTTGCAAAATTAATCTCTTCAATGGTGTTCTTAAATAATGGCAAAAGTAATTCTATAGAACAGGCTGCCAGCTCAGCTTCCTTAAGTGTTGCCTCCAGTTCAGTCCTTTCATCACTTAAGATGTCCTGCTTCAGGCTAATTACACACACACACAAATGGAATTTCAATTAAGTCTATTATGTATTGGTTACTTTTTACATTAATGTGGAATTAACAGTAGTTCTATAAGAAGCTCTACAAAAAAGTGATAATAAATCATCACAGCAAATGTGCAAACTTTTCCTAAGTTTCATAACTTTTCTATATTTCTATTATATGGAAAGATAATTTTTAAAATGTAAGTATATATAAACCACAAAAGCTATAATTCACAATGCTTAACTGTACTATTCAGTAATTGTTCAATATTCCCTCTCTAGTTTATGAGACTAAGTATGTGATTGTGTGTATTTTTTTCTTCTCCCTTATTCCAAATTATATACATATACATATACATATACATATACATATACATATACATATGTATACATATGTATATGTCTTTGTAAATCTTATTCTCAAACCTTTGCATGAAACTGACTGTTCTCCACAAAAACTGCCTCCAAAACAATGAATAAGCTAATCACATGGAACACCAAAACTAAAACTTTCCAGATGTCTCAAAACCCTTCACACTCGACTTTGGAATATGTGCCTTACCACTCAGAACCAAAGGACACGAGCTTGATTTTGAGTACTAAAAAACCAGAAACTGCTAATACCTTCACTCTTGACTATGTTTACCAGGCCTCTCTCCACTTGGGGAAGAGGGTGGAATAATTCAGGATGATTCTCAAGCCCTTAGGCATGAGCCATCATGCCCTATCTGCACACACACCAAAAACAGAATGGGGTGTTCAAAACTTTGAAGAACGTTCAGCAACAGAGATGCAATGCTTTTTTTTAACCCCTAGGAACGAATGGTTGTACAGAAATGTCAGGGGAGTTAGTGAAGGAGGAATGCCTGGCCACATTCAAGGTCCAGTCTCTAGCACTGCAAAGAAAGGGGCAAGGCCTCAAAAGAGTGACTGTCCAGCATTGTTTTGAAAATACTATGTTTTATTTCACTTTCTTTTACTTTTATGTAAGTTACTCAAATTGACTATCCTTGTACTACATAACTATATTTAAAGGAACTTTCTTAATATGAATAAAATTCAAAGTGATTTGAAAACATTGCAGCTTTAATAGGTAGCTTTTCTCTTTCTGTACAGAACATAATAAACGGCCATCTTACAAGCGATGTCAAAGCATAGATTTTGTTAGTAAGTATTACTGGCCTAAAGGACCACAGAAGATTATGCTGACACCAGTCCCTCATCACAAACTATGAGCAGAAAAATCAACAATTATTGTATATGACAAAACATTATTTTCATTTGTTAAGCTATAAACTGGACTGTATAATACATATAAAAATAATATTTTAAGATTGCTATTTTGGGGAATAATGACATATTTAAATAAGAAATGTATTTCCCATTCTAAAGAAATAAAAAGACAAGTACTTATTATATAGCAATATATCAAATGATAGTGAACTAGTACTCATTACCCATATTTCCAATATTTCATATTATTATTTTCATT